CATTGTTTATCATGCCTTCATCCGTTAATCGTTTCACTAAATTACGCTTGAAATGGCAAAAATTCCTGAATCATCTTGACTTTTTACTTAAATGTAAATGTAAAAATTTGATCCCCAATTTCATTCAAATCAAATCTAATCAAAAACCTTCGAGTCGCGTTTCAAGAATTCTATTAAAATGCAACCTTGTCTTACTTCGGTCCGTCATAAGGGATAAACGTCAACAACTGTCCAAAATTGAACATGAACTCTATAAGGCTTCATTTGGAACTCGCTAAATCATATCCAAAATTCACTGCCCTTGAACAAAAGTCTTGGTCTAGAACGGAGAATGCAGTTAACCGTCATAAAAACACCCTTGCAGTTAAATTCGAAAAATTTATTTTACAGTCTTCCAGTTCAAGTAGTTCAAAAAATCTTCCCATTGTAAACATCAAGCCAATAATTAAGATTTCTAATGTTAGTCTTTCAGAAGAACAAGAGAGAATTCTAAAATATAATTTTAACTTCTCACAAACCAGTAAACCCTCGATTCCAAAGATTTTGGCTCCTATCGAAAAAGCTTTGAAGTTTAGTAAAGTGTCAGATTCACAGAAAAAATGATTAGGCATCTTATCGCTCATAATGTGAAATTCAATAATAAACCTTTGAAATCAAATCTAACTGCGAGAGAAAGAGCTACAATGCGCGAAATTCATTCTAACCCGGATATTATCATTTCAAAGGCCGAAAAAGGTGGCCAGATAGTCGTCATGGATAAGAACACTTACATCGATGGTGTCACTAAACTCTTAAACGAAGGACCATATAATCCGATCCCTAAAGATCCTTCACCTTCGGACTTGTCAAAAATAAAAACTGCGATCAAATCTACGCAAATCATTTCAAACAACTTAAAACATTCGCTTATCTCATCTGTTGCGAATTGTGCCAGATTATATGCTCTTCCCAAAATTCATAAAAATGGTATTCCTTTCCGCCCTATTGTATCAAATTTAGGTACTGCCTCGTATCCATTAGCTAAATATTTAGTTTCTAGATTTTCAACTCTATTAGACAACAACATTTACACCATAAAAAATTCAATATAGTTTGTGAAAAAGGTTAAACATTTCTCCTAGTAATTTACTCATAGTTTCTTTTGATGTAAAATAATTATTCCCCAATGTCCCAGTGGAGGGTGCATTAAGATGTCTAGAAACCAGACTTCGCGAATTTCATTTCTCTTGCATCGAAATTGATGAGCTAATTTCTCTCACTCAACTCTGTTTGAAACAAACACATTTTGTTTTCCAAAATAAATATTTCAAGCAAACTGAGGGAATAGCCATGGGTAGCCCCCTCAGTCCCATCCTGGCTGATATCTACATGTATTATTATGAATCAAAATTGTTTGAAACTTTCCGCTACGTAGACGATACTTTTACTCTGTTTGAAGGTAATAAAGATGATTCAAATAAAGTTCTTACAACAATGAATTCTATTGATCCTGCTATTCAGTTCACTTTTGAACTTGAGACATGCAATTCTCTTCCGTTTCTCGACATTCTGGTCACACGTAACACATCCAACTTCAGTACTGCGGTTTACCGTAAACCTTCATTGGTTTGCCTTCCACCACACTTTAAATCATGTCATCCGACTAAACAAAAGTTAGCTTCATTTTATTCCTATGTTTTCCGTGCTCTTCAAGTTTGCTCCTCCAAACTAGCCCTTGATGAAGAACTAAATTATTTAAAAGCAATAGCTATTGACAGGGGCTTTTCACCCAACATTATTAATCAAGCAATAAAAAATTCTCATCTCAACACACTAAAAGGCACACTCTTGTTTTAGGAGATTATAAAAATTCTGTTGTCAATCCCTTCTTTCCATCAATTAGCTATAAAGTTGCACATATTTTGCAGAAATTTAACTTTCGGGTTGTTTATTCTCCCATCAATTAAATTCCGAGTTCCGTACTCAAGGACCCCATTCCGGATAGGAATTCCTGGGGTATTTATAGGATTCCTTGCCAGTGTGGTTTAATTTACATTGGCCAAACTAAGAGAGCCTTAAAATTTCGCGTCAAGGAACATGAGGCATATGTTAGAAAAAAGGAAACACAGAAGCCTTCAGTTGTCCGAAAATTATTAGTCCGAAAATCAGACTTTCAATTTTTCTGCTGCCAAAATTATTCAAAAAACATCTTCCATTGGAGAACTGGATTTTCTAGAGGCATTTCACATTCATAAAAATCTTTCTGTTCTAGTTAACGATCCTAATTCCAATCCATCTTTGCTTTCGGCCTTTAAAGAAATTATGTTTTAGTTCTGATTTCAGCAACAGATGGCGCCACTTGCTTATTCTTGTCCAGGCTTTCTTATCTTATCTAATCATTATTTCCTATCTTGTTCATTTGCGGTTTTGCAGCTGAGGATCGAAGCTGAGTTCGGTAAAAGCATCGAAACTAGTCCAGTGAAAATTTTGTAAATATAAAGTTGATTTTTGTTGTTTGACTTCTGAATTAGTATTTTGTTAGACATTAAGAAGTTGTTCATTATCAATCTCAATGATTTCAAAACGAGGAATAGCAACACTGTACGAAAAAAAAAAAAAAATTATCTCAAGAGAGCAAGACTGTGGATCGGAAATTCTAAAGATATGCTCATTTTAAAATTATTTTGCGATATTCCTTTTGAATTGAATTTTATGGTTTAAATACAATAGCGTGATATTTAATAAATAAAGGTAACTCACAAAATGATAAAAAAAAATGCCCCTTTGGGCGTAATGTAAAATCTGAAAGCTTTCAGATTTTTTTTTTAATTCGTTTTAGCCCAAAAAAATTAATACAATAAATAAAAGAATTTTTAAAAAATTAATTGCCCTTGCGTTGTTTCACTAAATAATCACTAACTCGCTTTTTAAATTGTTGCCACCAAGCCCTGTATTATATTTAAAGGAAATAAATAATGGAGGAATCTGCATAAATGTACGTATGTTTCTCGCATTGTGATAAAACACCCAGAGCCATCAAATTTTGAATAACGTATGTCTCCACCTGAAAATGGGCATCTGGAAGCCCAATTTTGGAATTTGGGATTTGTTTTATTATCTATTTCAGATTTTGTAAAGCATTTATGAGTTTTTGATTAAGAAAACGATTTCAAAGCAAGTAATGGCAACACTGTACGGAAAAAAAAAATTATATCCAGGGCGCAAGACTGTGTATCGGAAATTCTAAAGTTATGCTGTTTTAAGTCTTTTGTGATATTGCTGTTTCATTGAATTTTATGGTTTAAGTGCAAAGAACATGATATTTGATAAATAAAGGTAACATACAAAACGTTATAAAAAAGTCTCGCCTCTTTGGGCGTCATATAAAATCTGAAAGGTTTCAGATTATTATTATTAATATTTGATCTGCACAAAGCATCCGTTTTCTTTATTTTAAAATAAAATTACATTGAATATTAAAAAAATGTTAATACAATAATTTTTTGTTTATTTATTAACCCAGAAGGGCTACTAGCTTCGAAGTGGCATTTTGCGTCAAGTCACTAGAAGCATTGATTCACTTTTCAACTTGTTGCCACCAAATATTATCGTCCTGTATTATGTTTAAAGAAATAAAATAACAAAGATTCTGCGTAAATGTATGTATGTTTCTCGCGTTATGAAAAAACAGCGGTACCTAGATCTATCAAATTTTGAATAACGTAGTCCTCCACCCGAACGTGAGCACATGGAAGTCCGAACTTTGGATTTCGATTTTGTTTTGCTATCTGTTTCATACTTTTTAAAACTTTAACGACTTTTTTATAAAAAAATTCAATGATTTCAAAACGAACAGTCACAACGGAACAACGCATTTTTATCTTCAGGGCGCGAAACTCTAAAAATATGCTGTTTTTAAATATTTTTACCCCAAGGATGTGTTAGCCCAAATGCTCTCGAAACGTGTATGTGTGTGTTTTATGCATTTCTATTGTTTTCATTCCCCCCCCTCTGATTTTAAGCTACTGAATTTTACATTTTTCATTTTTAAAAACACATATTTTAAATTTCAAATAGTACTAATTTTAAATCTATTATGATTTATATAATGATATTTTTTTTATTTATCTAATCACAGTATTAATCACGTATTTGTATAATTAATTTGTTACTAATTTTATTCATAAGCAGTACTAATAATTCACACCGCACTTCTGTTCCTGAATTCTTCTTAAGCAGACTTCAGCAGTTTCTAATATACTAAATTCATGGCGCAAATAAGTGATCGCCATCGTTAACATTTATCTTCTCTAAAGCAGCTATCTCCGCAGATAATCAAAACGCCTAGAACTACGAAAAATTATTTTACAGAGGTTCTTAAGCGATTAGCAAAAAGAATTAGACGTTTTCCAACCGCATATACATGCAAAATCCTCTATTTTAATTATGTAAAGTGTTACTTTTTAATTAACATGTACTGTTTTAACTATTTTTTCTTTTTAAAGAAAATTGAAAATGCAAAATTTATAGCTTTATACATTTAAGCATAGGCGGGGTTAATTGAAATAATCTTTGTAGCAGGCATGAATTTGTAAGAAAGGAAATATTGTAGCAATATTAAACATGGCCAAGAATTCATGAAGGCAAAATAATTTGAAAAGAAAGTGATTTAAAATTCAACTGTCCCCTTCACTATCTTATCAATAAGGCCTCCTGAGTTACTGAAGTATACTGATTTTATTGATATAAAAGCAGTGGTAATTTTTCCAAAGGGGGAGGGAAAAAAAAAAACGAGTTTTTTTTTTTTTTTTTTTTTTTTTTTTTAAATCTGTGATGGTAAAATACTCGTATAATGTTTTCTGGTCCATTCGCAAGCTTTTATCGATGTCATGTTCGCCAAATTTCTGATGCCCTTTCTTTTTACGCATTTTCTGCATTAAATGGAACTAATTATGATCCAGAGTGACACTGCTATGAGCAGAGCTTTTATACAGCAAAATTTGTGCCAAAAGATGGCCAACCTTGAACCAGTGGCATTTAATGACCTTTGGATTGCTTTGACGTCATTCATAAAAACAACCTAAGGAACCAAGCAACTAACATACTATATATAAGAGTATCACATAGTTCTTCTCCAAATATTCCTCTAAGCTGTAAGACAACAATCGAATTTTTGCTGAAGGAGCATCTACAATTTCAACATGAGGATTCTAGTAAGTACATCTTTAACTATTTGGTTTGTAAAGTTTACGCTTATTTTATTGCTTCAATCAAATTTCAGTTGACATCATCTCTGAACATAGTCTTGCGCTAGATAATTTTAGAGTTGGTTTTACTCCATAAAATATGATTCTAGTCTAAAATATTTTTCGAATACACAATAATTTATTCAGAAATATTCATATTTTTCAAAAGGCAATTTAATGAAATTTGATCAATAATAAGTTATTTATAATAATTTTAAATCATACATTTAAAGTCTTAATTTCATTTGAAATATTTTGCGATTTAACAATTAATACTCCAAGAAATAGAAACATTTCAGTTATTTGTGTTACATGACATATTTAAGATAGTTTATAATATCTCAAAATATCGAAATAACAGTCAGTGTAATTTTGAATTCAGGTATCTTAAAAATTCCAGAATAATTGCAATAGATTTATTTAGTAAACACTTGCATCATTTTCTGATGTGATCTTAAGAACAAATTTATAAATGAGTTATCTACTGAATTTGCGTCATTGAACATTTGCGTCAATGAACTATTATTTTTCTAATTATAAATAATTAAGTAATAATATTTAATAATTATTAAAATTGTTATAAAAATTATTCTTCTATCATAGTTATTAGTAAATTAATTAATCTTTTAATAAGCATTAAGTATTATTGTTAAAAATAATTACTTCTGCTCTTCGAATAATTAAATCAAAATTAAAAGAAATAATAAAATATATGGAAAAGCGATTAAGTTAACGATAGTAGTCCAAGTACAGACCGAAAGAAAAATAAGCAGGCATCGAAGAAACGAAGCAGATGTTTACTTTCTTCTCTTGAAGTTGTACGATTTCTTACTGCAATAATGTGCAGCTGATATAAATATTTTCTTGTTGTAAATATTTTTCATTTAAAAAATGTACTTTTATGTTTCAAGACACCAAACTAATATAAGCATAAGTGAGCTTCTGAAGTCCTTTCATTATTTTAACTGTTGCATTGAAGAAAGGACAAAGATTGGATGGATTGGATTATTCAATTATAGCAAAGCACACGAGGGCTATCAGCCTAAAGGGAGGGATGCCTTCGTGGAGGAATTTCTAAGGGAAACTGGCTCGTATACACGTTACACATGTGGAAAACCACGAAAACGCCCATGCAGCCAGCCCGTTCGCGGGATTCGAACCTCGGACCGAACTACCAGTGTTCAGCGTCTTTACCGCTCGGCCACTGGTGGGCCTAGAAAGGACAAAGAAGCCGAATTTTTATTTGCGAAGATTCTTTTTTTTTTTTTTTTTTTTTTTTTTTTTTTTTGTGGATAATTCCTTCATATAAGGATCTTCACATTTCCTTAAATCGAGTGTTTAAAAAAGTAAAAAATAGGTAAGTGTTTAAGAATCTGAAACGGCTTAATGAATAAATGAGATGAAAATCTAATGAGCTCAAATCCATTGAATGCATAAGCATGAGCGATAACAAAAATTATTCAGCCGATTGTACTTTAAAGGTATCTATGATTGTATCTATCAGACATGGTCAAACGACGGTTGGTCAATTAAATGCGGCTCATATCTTAAACACTCAACTGAATGTTGGAATGTAATTTGAGACAGAAATCATGTTACAATAATTTTTTTATCAATCAATCATTTTTCTGCTTAGATTTTATTATGCGCGTGGTAATTTTAAATAATTATAAATGTGCAATGTTTTAATAATCAAAGCAACTGAGGAGCCGCAAATAATTTTGTTTCCAAAGTTCTGTGCTAAGGCGATACTACTTTTATTTCTTTTTACGAAGTAAAGGAAGTATTGTAATTGCCAAAAATTTCGGGCATCATGATTTCAACGAAAATATTCCTTTTTACCGTTCCCAAATCATTTGGCTGATTTTTTTTTGGGGGGGGGATGATGCCTGTACGTACGCGCAGAATAAAGCACTCTACGGATTGTAAAACAGATTTAAAATGGACTCAAATTGAATTTTTTTTCGTGACGTCTCGTACGTACATATCTCTGCATTTATCTCGCTTAACTCAAAAATGATTAGCCGTAGAACGTTGAAATTTTTAGCGTGTGCATGGGTAAAAAGTAAAGAAAAATCACTAGTTCTGTCTTTGAAATTATTGTGTTATTCTTAACTCCAAAGAAAACTACATTATAATAAGGATCATTCTGTTTTATTTGAACTTTAGTTTATTTCTCTTAAATTCAACACAACGAGACAAAATTTTAAAATTATAAAAGTGTGTTTGATTATAGTATACAACAAGTTTTTAGATCTTAAAAGCGTTCTTTCCTGAATACAAAGAAAATCATAAAATTTATTTGAGCATTGTGATAACTTGATGAAAAAACTCTGATGGGGACAACACATCACTTTTTGTACGGGCTTATTAAATTATACATATTTTTTGCTGCACTTCATTTAAACTTATTTCCTCGAATTATTCTAACTTGAATGACTATCCTAAAAGACAACTGGAAAATGACCTTAAATATTGCAAATTTTGAAATTAAATATCCCAGTTAATTTTTGCTTCACGGAAGTCAAACACTTCATCTAATTTTATTTTTTCACAAAGAATATACAACTTGCCGATGTATATGTATAGGAATGGGGAACCGCACTAAAAGATTTCGTTATTTGTCGAAAATGAATTTTTTTAGAATTTGACATTGCCAAAACATAAATATTTCCGTCATTTAAAACATTTCGCATATGTCTTTAATGATAATTTTTTCTGCAGCTTAATGCGCGAAAATACTAGGCATGTTTATATTTGGTTTTCAAAATAATTGTTATGTAATTATATATATTTATATACGTTTGATATTGCAGATTGTAATAAAAAAGGGAGGTGCACAAAAAGCGATGTTATTGCGGGGATGTGTAGCAATCCCATATGAAAATTCAATGCTTTACTGTTAATCTTTTTGGAGTTACGTCAGATACATACATACATACATACAAACGTAACTACAGACGTCATCGAAAAAATCCTTTTTGAATCTATTTTACAATCAGTTTTGAAAAAAAAAAAGTTCTTAACTTTGTTTGTTACGTATAGATGCCAAGCAAAAAAAATCATCGAAATGGATTGTGGAATGTAAAATTGGATATTTCCTTTGAAATATATTACCTTGAATTTTTTCATAATATCAATACTTTTCTTACTTCGCACAAAAATGTAAAAATGAGAAATTCTTGTTATTCTCTTGAAATATTTCTGTCTATTCAGTCGTTATTTTACTACTTTTAAAACCATATAATTAGGTATTTTCGGCTCTGGAATAACTCTGATTTCTATGAAGCGGCTCTTAATGGTTCGAAGCATGATCAACCCTGACATTTTTTAATAGTGTTCCATACCTCTAAAAATTATCATTAAGAATTACATTTTACCCATTATTAACCACATGCTATATTTACATTATTTAGTATTACATTATTACATCACTATCAAATATTTTAAATTTCATTAAAATAATAATATTTGTTGTAAATAATAATATTTGTTGTATAAATAATAATATTTGTTGTTCATTAAAATAATATTTGTTGTGTATTGTTGTAAGTCAGAAAAAAATTAAATTATAATAATATTTCAGGTTTTGTTTGAAGATTTATTGGCAGAAATATATGTATAATTAATCCTAAAATATTAACCATAAAGGTTAATAAATATTTTTTTCTTGTAAAAAAAAGTTTATATAGTGTATGTATGTTTTTCACCGAATACCCAAACCAAACATTTAGGAGAGGATACAACATTTACTATGATAAAAAAGACATTAAAATTAAGAATAATCAACGTCGTCTAATAACTAGTAGCTACAGTACTTGTTCTCAGAGTAGGATTACTAACTTTCGGTTTCCGTTCAAGTTAACACTTTACAGTAACACCATATAAAAAAGAATAGTTGAAGAAATAGTCAAAATCACTCATTGATTCTGCTAAATGTATAATGCATACTCTCCAGTTTAAAGAAAAGCAGTTATATGAGTCTCCACTCTACAGATAAGGCAGTAATTACTGTCTTCAGTGCCTCTAGTATTCGTAGACCCTTTTTTGCCGCTATTGAAGGAAATCTGTAAAAGAGTTACTTGAAACCTCATCCAGTTCATTCTTGATATTGTTTCTTTCGTTTTTTAGAATATTTCCAGCTTTGCATATATTACATTATAAAAACGTGAATGTATACAAATACGAAAGAAGTAATGCTAAAGTAACATATAGGCTAATATCTATTAGTCACGATTTCAGTTCCTCCTGAAATTTAGTTCACTTTCGAACTTAACTTCCTTTCACAATCCTTTGAGCTCCTTGATATTTTAGTCACACTTAATGAATATATAGTACAGTGCTACCTTTCTCTCATTTTCATATTGTTATTCTGATAGCAAAACTTAACTTTTTTTTTAAACTTTATACCTTCATTTAAAATTTACTTTCTGACGTCGGTTTTCAATCAGATAGATATTCAACTATTTGAGAACGGTAAAAAAGGACTGGGATTTCTGATCCCGTATTATTAATAATGAGTTAAAAAATTCATCAAAAGAATAAAATTTAAAACCTTGATTTGAGTTTTTCCTCAGCATATTATATTCGCTGCTGAAGATTTTTCTTTAACACTAAAAAAAGTCATTTTGTTTTAGTTAATATTCCGAATTCTAATCCAAGTTATCACTAGGCTTTAAAAAATCGGATTTTTATTCTTAGTTGCTTGTTTCTCCTTTTTCCGTCAATAAGTAATGAAAGTTTCGTTTCCTATCACTTGGTGTAAAAGTTTCTCGAACATTTTCCATATGTTTTTCCATTTTTCCATATATTACATTATGGCATATGATTTTGCATTACTTATGAATTCTGAAATAAAGAAGATAGTTGATTTAATCTTCGAAACTACAGAGAATACCAAATAAGAAAGTGACAATTATTACTGATTGCATATTAACAAATAAAGATGAATATGCGAAATTTTCAAGTTGCAGCCAAAACTGAGATTCATTTCCTTCATAACAAAAGCACCTTCAGTTAAAGGCTGGCAGCACTGTGACATTGCATTTAAGAAAACTATTAAGTAATCTTTCATATTTTAAACACAAAAAGAAGCAAAATTGTTAATTTTAAACGTTATAAAAGCAGTCAGCTTGTAGAGACATCAGGTATTTTTTGGAAGCAGGAGAATTGAAAAATTAGCAACCGCCTTCTCGGAGAATCGAACCATGGACCTCTGGAATACCGGCCCAGTGTGAAAACTACTACACCACGAAGGCACGCCAAGAAGGTGGTAGAAATACCTTATATACTGCCTCTTTTAAAGGGCGATTGGAGTTTTTAGGGAACCCAATCGCCAAATCCTGGGTGAGGAGAATCATCATCCAACACCCTTATAGTTCGAGCACTACTGTAGAGACATTAATTTAATTGAAAAAGCCGGAGATATATAAAAATATATATATATATATGGTCACTTTACTTAACCTGTTCCGCCAAACTAAGTTAATGGCACTACAGGGTTAGGAAGTCATCCTAGTCATTGCTAGCAATTGACGGTTAGGCCGCCTTTCTACATTTCACCTTAATCTGTAGTTTCTTGGATATAATTATTTTCATCATGCTTCATTATCTCTAAAATGCCCTTGTTGCAGTAATAGTCCTTGACCAGTCTATTCACAGGATATGTGATGTAGTCGGAAGGAATAACTGCTGTCAAAGTGCTTTGTCAGAGGGCAGGAGAGCAGGTAATGAAGTGCGTCCGCGTCTTCCCCACGAAAACCGCAAGAACAGTTGACGTCCCCTCTGAGGAGTCGTCTGTAATAGGCTGGTAATTTCCCGTGGGTGTTACAGGCTTGGAGGAAGAGTCGGTTGCATTTGAGTCTCTTGAGAGAAGGTATTGAGAAGGACCTACTCGTCCTGAAATTTTTGAACCGTCAGAGAAAATCTCTCTTTGCTGTCCTGAGGGTGGCGATTTGCACCAGGTAGGGATGGGTAGATCTCCTGGATGTAAGTCAGGGGGATCTTGCAAGCTTTCTATGCTGACATAGGATAGATTTAAATCTTCTTTAGTGTGAAGGTCCTCTTTGTAGTGTAAAAGTCGATAGATTGATCTTTCTAATTCTGCTTTTAGGTCGAGTGGGAGCGTGCCAGCTAAAACCTAAAGTGCTGCGGTTGATGTAGTGCTATACGCACTGGTGATTTACTTGCTGTATTTGATGTAGTTTTTGACATATTCTTGCTGTGCCATTCATCCAAACTGGGCAGCCGTAGAGGATCATGCGTTCAATTGCATTAAGGTATAGATTTTTTTACAGGCGCCCCTTTTGGCTCCACTTGTCTGTGATTATCCTGTGTAGTTTATTGATGATTCGATGCGTCTTATCTCGGACTTCCGTAAGATGTGATAACCACGTGACCACCACATATCAAGCCTGAATCCGAGGTTTTAATGGTATCTTGGCGTCGCAGTGGATGCCCTTCCCACCTTATGCGTGGTGGATTCGCGTCTATTTTTGAACCTTTTGGAAAGACTATCATTTGTGTCTTTTTAATACTGAAACACAGTTTGTTGTCTTGACTTCATTTTGTAAGCAATTTGAGTGCTGCGTCTGCTTTACGCTCTATTGTTGTCCTATTGCCTCCATCTATTATGAGTATAATATCGTCGGCGTAAGCTTGCATCTTGGTATTGTCTCCAAAGTTGATGTTCTGAAAAATTAGCAACACTTTCGCCGGGAATCGAACCACGGAGCTCTGGAATACCGGCAAGCGTGCAGAACCACTACACCACGAAGGCACGCTAGGAAGGCGGGAGAAATACCTTATATACTCTCCCTTTTAAAGGGCGACTGGGAGTTTTAGGAGACCCAATCGCCAAATCCTGGGTGGGGAGAAATCATCATCCACCACCCTTTTAATTCGGGCGTCACTGTAGAGACATTAGGCATTCTTCGAATCAGGCAAGATGAAAACTAACAAACGCCTTCGCCGGGAATCGAATCACTGACCTCTGGAATACCGGCCTAGCATGCAGAACCACTACACCACGAAGGCACGCCAAGAAGATGGGAGAAATACCTTATAAGTTATCAAAAGCAATGATTTAGCGAGCTTCAAAAAGTATGAAACGTTTGAAAAATCTGATATCAACCAAAATTTCGGTAAAAACAGATGTAAACAGATCATGAAAATAGCTCAGGGAGAAACAGGATATTTCTCTTCGTCAAGACGCTTAAAAAATGAAAGGCATTAACTGATTATCGAATTAAGGAAGATCTGTTTTAAATTTATGCAGTTTCTCTTTATTTATAGAAATTTTTTTGTGTTATTCATAAAATCCTTTTTCATTCCATTATTAGTTTCTTTCCGATATATAATGATTTCAAACTTAAGAGTAAAAATTGTTTATATCTTCTTTTCTTTCTTTTTTAAATTTAGGTTTTAGCTCTTTTTCTCTCAGTTATGCTAGCCTTAGCCAGTGGTGGAATTGTCCGCGAAGTCGCTGAATCTATCAGGCGAGCTGCACAGTCTGGAGGAGCTCGTCGGAGTGAAGGACAAGGCGGATACGGTAGTGGAAGTAGCGGAAACAGTGGGCAGGGTGGACATGGAAGTGAAAAACGAGGACAGAGTGGTAGGCAACAAAGTGGACATGGGGGATATGGCGGCAGCAGCGGAGGAGAGCGCAGTGGACAGCACAGCGCGGATCTAAGGAACGCGGCAGCGAACGAGGAGGACACAGTAGTGAACACTATGGAACGAATGGGAATGAGCACGGAGGACAACGCGGTGGACAACAAGAAGGACACCGTGGTGGACAACAAGATGGACACCGTAGTGGACAACAAGATGGACACCGTGGTGGACAACAAGATGGACACCGTGCAAATAATCAAGGCAGCCGAGGAGGGTACCACTATGGTTAAACAGTTAGCAATCGTTAATATACCAAAGTTAAACTATTGACAATAGTTTGCAAGACCCTCCGATATTCTCTGTGCCTTTGCACCATACGAATATGACAATGCTTGATTTTCCCTTTTTAATGCTGGAAATTTCATTTAAAATAAAAAGCATGTTTTAAAATTGGACTTATTATTTTTATAAACCATACACCTTACTATCAGGAAAATCCGTTTAAAATATGGCGCATTATTGCACTTTAATGAAATAACTTACAGAGAATGAAATGTAAAATAGTGATGGGCAGTACGAAAAGTAGTTACTAAGCAATCCTGTACTAGAAATAGGTGGTAAGTCATAGATCATGCCAATACATTTCCTGTTATTTAATTATAATAAATAATAATAATTCAATGCCTGGATTAAGGAAAAAATGCTGTGTAATCAAAATTAATTAAAAACAAAACATTATCTCATAAACTAGTAAAATAATACCCATATTTCATCTGACTTGAATAAATAAATATAAACTCTCTGAAGCATCATTTAATATTATAATCTTGAGCTTCCTTTTGGATTCCTAATTTATATTACTGATCATTTTTGTTATCATTTCTTTCTTGCAATCCTGAACAAGCCAAAATATGACTCATTAGTCATGAGTTTAATAAAACATTTCATTTCAAGAAAAAATAATTTCCCTGATTGCATTATATCTTGGCTCACGAATGTGAAACAACTTGTTTCGATCAGCAGTAGGATATAGGAGAGGTAAAGTAATAACACCTGAAATAGTATTGTTCAAATATGCGTCTGAAATAATATTATTTAAGATATATTATCCAAGTATACTTTTTAATAAAACGTACTTAAACTGATACAATAACAAAACATTGCCTATTGTCGAAGGAGTTTATTTTTTGGATACAGGACTGTTCTTCAGCATCTTTTGCTTTCTACATTTCCAGTTTCTCTAAATATTTCATGACGGTTGCAAGATTCTTGCAGCTTTAAATATGACTAATTATAAACTACTTGCAAGCAGCTTATTTTCTGAAGGTTTTCTTCTTACGTTCTGAATATTAGCAATTTTCAAATTAAATTACATTCTAACTGTAGGGAAAAGAATTTGTAAATTTAAATGTAGAACTGACGGGGAAGGAGAGTAACGTTTGTCTCATTTTAAATATATTTAGTAATTACTTGATACATTTGAAACCTTTAGGTTAATATACTATATTCCGATTGTTTCTTCTTTTACAGAGAAAGTCCGATAATTCGGTAAAACCGAACTTTAGAGATGCAGTGCGTTCAAGTTTCGTGCCATTTTAACTAGTGAACAAGTAAATCATTTATATTACTATTATTACTGTTTACGAGGCAGTTTTGCATAATATTTTCTCAATATTTTCCTTGCATGCCAGAGACTTTTCTACGCCAAGCAGTATTAAGGATTTCATAATAACAGGAATCACATGAATGTTTGCTGTCCCAGAAGGGTAGAACATTATTTTACTCTATGCAATACTGTTATCTATAAGTGATAAGACTTTTCCCATCTTTATCGTCCGTATGTTAGCAGAAGTTAACTTTTCTTTGCGTTCGCATTTCAGCTGCTTACTTGATGCAAAATGCCAGGATTTTCCGCTTCTCTTGGCATTCGAAATACTTTTTTTTAAGATATATCCTTTGGAGCTTTTGATTTAAAAGACACGTTACTGTTCATTTATATTTTAAAAAGCAGCTATGCTATTTTCAGTAACCCTACTTTGTAAGAAAAAAACTAAGCCAACAAAAATGAACATTACTATAAATGCACGTAATTTAAAAAATTCAGTAATATCCTATGAGACATTCAGAAACAAAAATTTATAAGAAAGTATATTTAAATAATGACGAAAACAATGGCAGGTCTCCTTTATATAAAAAGACAATACCACTCAACGAATGTTCAGAAATCATCGAATGATATTATTAGTTCAGATGGACGTTACCTCAGAAGGGTTATTAATTCTCGAAACGGAATTTTGCGTCGGTTCACTATAAATGTCCGTTTTACTTTTAAATTCTTGCCACCCTCTATTATATTTAAATAAATTGAATAATGAAGAGTGCATGAATGTATGTATGTTTCTCGCCTTGTGAAAAAAACAACGGTACCTAGATGCATGAAATTTTGAATAATTTAGTCATCCACCCGAATATGGGCACCTGAAAGCCCGAATTTGTAACTGCGGATTTCCTTTATTGTCTATTTCATATTTTGGAAAACTTAATAAATTTTTGATTAACAAACTCAGCGATTTCAAGGCGAGCAGTGGCAACACTGTACGGAAAAAAAAACATTTTCATCTCCAGCGCGCAAGACTGTCTATCGGAAATTCTCAAAGATATGCTGTTTTAAATAGTTTCAGCCAAAAGGGATATTAGCTCAAATGCTATCAAAACGTGTATGTGTATATAAATGAAGAAAACGTCGGGCGTAATATAAAATCTGAAAGCTTTCAGATTTTTTCTTTTCTCTTTTTTAGACAATTTTAATATCACATTAATCAAGGATTTAAAATTCTAAGTATTTGCATTTTAAAATTATCGTTAATATTATCGGTTTGTAAATTTCCGATTTTGAAGAATTACAAGATTTGCACCAGAGGCCAGGAATAATGAAATACATACGGTATTTTTGCAGCGAATGTTGACTCGACATTACATTACCATGCACTTTCAATTTTTTAAAATTTTAGTCTATAAAATTCGAGGTAAAATGGCACAGATCTGAGTAGAGGAACTCCTCTAAAAACGATCTTATTTATGGAAGGACATAAATAAACATCCAAACTGATAATTACAATAACACTTATTAAGCCAACCTCTCTTTCAAATATGTACCATCAAATAGGACCATCAAAATGTGTAATTCGCCATCAAAGTAAAATATTTTATGCAAAATGAATGAAATGGCCCGAAAGAGAGGAGTCCTTATGAAAGGGTTGGAGTTCCCGTGCTTATATTAATAGCAAATTTACCGAAAGAAAAAGATTTTGATTAGAACTCGGGGTTCTTTGTGTGAATGCAGTAAAACACACCAATACTATCAGTTCAGCATCGTGATTACCAGTGTTTAGGGTTATGAAAAGCTTTCTCCAAATAATTTTTCTAACTCTTCATGTCTAGTCTAAAATAGCTAATAGCTAATATTGCACAAAAATGTGGCGAAGTAGTCAGATTCAGTTAATTTTTTTTATGCTATTGCAATCGTTGATGTTGATTTTGATAGTTCAGTGCATTTCATGCAAATATGTTTTCCCCTTTCCTTTCTTCTAACTTTGAAAATCGTATGTAACTTAATCTAAAATAAAATATTTGCAAATCAAAAAAGTTAAAGTAAGTAATGTAAAAGTTTAAGAAATTCAACCAACTCCTAATTAATCAAGTTGCGGATTAACCGTTCCTTTTGTAAAAATGCTTCCATGTAATGGTTCTTTTAATGGTTCCAATGTAATGATTCTTGTGTAAAAATTGTTTATTGTTTGGTTTTTTAGAAACGATGGAAATTTGACAATCAAAACCACCAGAACAAAATTTCTTCGGGAAGAGCAAAAAGAAAGAGAAAATGCATCAGATACCAGCTAGGGTAGCAGCTAACATCCCAGTATTTAGGAAATGTTCTCATCCACAACAGTAAATAAATTAATTGTACATAACTTGAATATACAGATATTGTTAAATATTTCATTAAAATGTGCAGCATTTAATTTTCTATTTCCCGTTGGCTTCTTTCGAAATACATTTTTTTCTGTTTTGAAGAGTATTACTATTTCGAATGCTGATTTAATTTACATAACCGAATGAAACTATTCTCCAGATAAAACTTCTTAAAAACACAGCTAAATTGTTAATATTATCTATTAATTTTAATACAGGTTATTCTTCTTTCTACTACTTTTTCAACTACTGTCTGTTTAAACTAACCATTGACATCATGCAAAGTATATCCTCGGTTAATTGAGAGTTTAGTGCGCGATTAGTTAGCTCTGGACTTAATAAATGAAAATTAAATTGCTGACAAAAGTGACGTCATATTTCATTAGCATGAGTGTGTAAATTCCAAATATTTAGCTGTACATTCCATATATAGAATCACATCAATTCTAGGTTCCAGGCATTTTATTCTATTGACGGGACCCCGCAAGATGATGGACACGTTATCAAGTAAACCAGCTGTTCTGTCAACGGCGAAAAGAATGATATATATATATATATATATTCGTTATAGAAAACAAGTTACTAAATTTATGCATAAATTTGCAATATCTCAGTTACCATCTTATCTAATGCTTTTACTTTTATAATTTATTTTCTTGAACAATCGATAAGTTGTAGCCCGGGAGTTGCATGCAGAATTTTTAAGTGGTCCTTTGGGCCGAAAGGGTTTATCAACCTTGAACCAGTCCCATCTAATGACCTTTTCATTGCTTTGACGTCATTCAGTAAAACAACCTACAGAACCAGGCAGCTCACATCTTATAAAAGAGTCCCCAAAAATTCTTCAGCCTTCAAGTTGCCAGACGACCAGGAATTTTCCCTGAAGAAGCATCGGTAATTTCAATATGAAGATTCTAGTGAGTATGCTTTTCGCTATTTCGACTGCCGCTTGTCTTTATTGAATCAGTCAACCTTCAATTCTGATTATGTATGAATAATACAGTATTGCCATGTGTAAGAAATATTTAGGCTTCTTTTAATTTTATAAAATCTAATTATAGCTTAATAGTCATACCTTGATCAAATGATAGGCATTTTTTCAAAAAGAATGTTATTTAAAATTTGAATCATTGTATTTAAAGATTTATTATTAATTTCAAATATTTGACTTTTTATATGCTTTAGCTGTGTTTTAACAATTAATACTATCAAGAAACACAAATTATTTGTGTGATTTCTTTGCCATAATTAATATAATCTTAAAATATCGGAAGAGAAATAAATGAATTTTGAAATCCATTATCTTAAAAATTCCTGGATCATCGCACTGCATTCCTTTAATAAATGTTTATCTGATTTTCTGATAACTGAAAATAGTGCACAGTAAATACTGTTAGAATAATGTTGTTATTAACAGCCAAGTTATTTAAAAAATTTAATGTTTAGAAACTTCTATAAATTAAAATGCATCAACAGTCGAAATGAAAATTTACAAATTTTATAAAATGTCTAATAGTGTATCACAAACGCTCTTAATGATAATACTCGCATCATGGGAGACTTGCGCGATTAAAAATGAGTATTTATGCCAGTTCTGTTACAATTTGAAGTACAAAATAAAGACTTAACTTTAATATCGTCAGAAGTTACAGTTATTTTAAGATTAATCAATTTTACTGACGTTAAATTAAAATTAAATTTTTTTTAATTTACGCAAGTTCATTTGAAGGAATAATAATATATTTAATAGCTAATGGAGGGCACTTCCCTATTCAATATTGATCGCTCTTAAGGCCGGAAGGCGTGGCCATTTAAATGAAGAGGCACCTAATAGGCGGTCGATGTTGCCTCCTATGAGGGGACGGACAATTACAACCATGCCTTCTCTGCGATTCGAACCCCGGCCCTTCGGTACCACAGTCGGCTCCCCTAATCACTGTACTTTCTGAGCTGCTAATAGTAAATCTGAAAGGTTTTATATTTTGACTTTGTACCCAAAAATCTTCTTTGGATTTTAATATGGTTTAATAATAGAGATTAAGAAAAGAAGTGGTCCAGATAAGAATAGGGAAGTATTCTTTAGGATACTAGATGAAAATACATCATGAGATGTTATAAATCACCTGTATATTTGAGAAATTTAAAAATGTAAAACGTAAATATATAGTTTTTAGTTAGATATATCATAATTAAATAGAAATGTTTATATATACGAGTATCATTTAAATAAGTAATCCGATCGAGGATTAAATGCATTTCTATTTAAATCAATCAGATTAAAAAGTAAGAAAAAAAATATTTTAAGAACTGCATCCATTGCTTTTAAATGGCTCAGTTTTTTATTCAGTAACAGATAGATTAAATTTGAAAAGTTACATTTTGCCAAATGGCAGCAGACTCGAATAAAAAAGAAACAACACATTTAGGATGGATGATATTTAAAGTGAATACCGTGCTTCAAGAAAAGTTGCCATTTTGGTTCTAATAATTTTAGCTTCTTAAGATTTCAGTTCTCTTTTTATTCTTGAAATGATTTCTTACTCCTTGTGTGGCTTATATTTTATATAATAAAAAATTCTGAATATTTAAATTTAGGAATTTTGTATGCACATATAAAGGGCAATGGGAATTATCTGATTATATTTATAATAATTAATTTCAAAATTAGAGATTCATGTTAATTCACTTTTCTACCCTGTTTTACTATTTTTATGAATATACAGTTATCTAGTTACTGATCTAAAATACTTCTGAATACCATCAAGCGTCTTCTACTGACAATAAGCACGGTCGCTTCTGATACATTCTAATATACAGAAGAGCCAAAAGACATTATGACCACCTACTCAATAACGCATTGCGCGACCTTTGACCTGCAAAACACCCGCAACGCGCCTTGGCATGGATGACACAAGTTCTTTATAGATGACTGGAGACTGGTTGTACGAAATGTCTAATCAGCGGTCACGTTATGTCGGGATATTCGGGGGTGTTTGGGCTTTGAGCTTCCCCTGCATGACATCCCAAATGTGCTCTATCGGGTTAAGATCTGGGAAGTTAGGTGGCCAGCACATTAATTGGAATTCATTATTATGCTCCTCGAATCACTCCAACACGGTTCGAGCCTTGTGACGTGGGGCGTTGTCCTGCTAGAAGATTCCATTTCCAGCTGAAAAGACAGAGCCATCTAAGGGTGCAACTATCCGCTGTTATGTTCAGACAGACCGCAGCTTTCATGGTCTATTCTACCACAACTAAGGGTCCTACAGCCGTCCATGAGAACGTCCCCCAAAGCATAATACCGCTATCCCAGCCTATATAATTCTTGTTCTACAGGGAGAGCCACTGTTCGCTGGAAGACTGCATACCCTGACACACCATCGAAGTAACGAACGAGAAATCATTATTCATCCGACAAGGCAACTGTCTTCCACTTATCCATGGTCCAATTTCGACGTTCCGGGCCCACTATAGGCGTAATTGACAATGATGCTTGGTCAACAGAGGCACACTAGGTGGGACGGCTGCTGCGCGTCCCATATCTAACAGTGTCCGCTGAGCTGTGTGTTCCGCAACACCTGCACTTGGACCTGCATTGTATTGGGTTATCCGCGAGCCACTATCCGGCGCCGATTTTGCTGAGCCAAGCGGGACAGTCTCCGACGTTCTTTGTCTTTGGACGTCCATCCTCTTTGCGTCTATTTGCGACGCTTTCACCATCATTTATCCACTTTGTATAAATATTAAAAACGGCAGAGCGTGAAAAAAACTACCAGTCATGCAGTTTCGGAGATACTTGCTCCGAGCCTTAGGCCCATTACAATCTGCCTTGTATTAGATTCGCTTAGATCTGTAATCTTTCCCATCACTCGCAAAAGTAAATGCAATAATTATTCCATACCTTCTGCAGCAGCAGTTAAATCAAACTGAATCACGTGCCATCCACTTCATCCAGACGAGGTCATTGAATAATTTGGGATGGTCATAATGTTTTGACTCGTTAGTGTATTTATATGAAAATTTTTAAACTTAACACTTTTGTTTTCTACATTAGTTAGAAACTATCAGCAAAAATTGTGATGTTTTATCCATTATCAAGCACATACTAATTCTTTCACGCCAAATATTTTCAAGTTCTTGAAAGGAATAATATCTCTTACGCCCTGAGCTACAAAAAGTTAAATGATGGTAATATTTCAGCATTTTCCTGAAAGATTTGTTGGATTAAATATCTGTCATCAACCCAAGAATGATAACCAAAAAAATTATGATTTTTATTGTTAAAGGAAGTTTACACAATTTTATTTCTTGAACAAATATCTGAAGGGAACATTTGCACGAGGGCACAGTTTCTGTTAAGACGAAGAATAATACAATGCACAGTATCAATAAAACTTTTTTTTCCTTTACAATATATTGATTCTGATATTATTCACATGTAGTACTTTCAAGATACTAAAATTCAAATTAATTTAATTTACTTAGTGTTAACTTTATTACAGAAATGCATAAATGAGTACACTGTTTGCTATTATTTTTTTACTCAATTGGCGCCAAAGTTTTCTGATTATTGAAAGTCCTTTCTACTAAACTAACATACGAGTGTTTAACTCACCAACGAAATGTTTTAGAAATTGGACGATTTCTTTAAAAAAAAGTTTTTTAGCTAAGCTTAAGAATTTTAACATTTTGCAACTTGGGATAAAATTGAAAGCATACTAGCAACTTCGTCTCGTTAAACATGAAATAAAATTTCTAACTACATAAATAAATAAATTAAATTTTCTTTTTTAATCAGCCAAACCGTTTTCCCCAGACACAGGCTTTTATTGGTATTATTATTTCAAATCACCATAACCCTTCTTCATGGCTGAAAATCGTACTGGCCATCTCTAAGTCCATCCCATTTTGCCATGCCCTTGATCCTAATCAATTTCCATTGTTCTTCAGCGTATCCTGGCAGTCCGGATCCGTTCCCCGAAAACTACCGCTATTGCGAATGCTGACTTCCACCGTATTGGATAGCCTTCTGCCTTTCCTGATCGATCCTTTTTGTTTTGTTTTGTTTTTGTTTTTGCAATACATCTTCTTCTTCAGGCAGCCTGAGTTTTTTTCCAACGTATATTTTACGTCATTCGTTCCAACGTCCTTGCATACTTTATGCTTTTATTATTCGTCAGGTCCTTTCACCTTTCTTCGTAATTCTTTAAACTGCTTTAGCCTCTTATTTGGATGGTCGCTACCTCTCGTAGGTACTTGACCATGGCCTTGAAGCTTTCGTATCTTCTTTGCTCTTTCAGGCCTTCTTGCCTTCCCCCATTTGCAGCTTTTCTTTTAGAGATTACATCCAGTTTTGGCCTTCTTTTTTATCACTATTACCAGCTTCCTTTTGCTGCGCGCGCCTTCCTCAGATAAAAATACCGCTACTGTTTTTCAAAGGCCTGCACCGCTCGTGCCGAGTATTACCTCTAGCGCAGCCTTTATGAATGGCACGTCAGCCAGTTCATAGCATTTTTTAACCCTACACCCAATTAGTTGTTATCGTCTCACCAATATTTTCCCTTTACATACAACACAGATTGTGTAATCCGCTCAAGCACAAAAATGCTCCCTTTCCTCTAGTGCTTAAGAAACCAAATGCTTAATTTTCGAGACATTATCTCCTTACGCTTAAAATTTTCCTCACATCTTTTCTTACCGTAATATAATTTCTGCTTCGCGGGGGTCTTATTTTAATTTTTTGTTGCCTCATCAAATAATTTCTGAATATCTGCAGTTTTAAACGCGTGAGAAAGTTTTTTTTTTTTTTTTTCAAAAAACAATTTATCAAGAATCGTAATCAGCCTTTTTGCAAGAAATAATTCAGCGGCCATTTCTGCTGGTATCGTGTTTAGCTGGTTTTAGTTCATAGGCGGAG